TTTGTTGAGAAATTGGTGGTATACTATTAAAAGCAAAGCAGGCCTTTTACTTAACTTAAAACTTTCAATTTTATATATATATATATATATATATAAAATTGAAAGTTTTAAGTTAAGTAAAAGGCCTGCTTTGCTTTTAATAGTATACCACCAATTTCTCAACAAAATTTATAGTAATACAATGATCGATAGTTATGCGTTTACAATTTAATATATTCAACTCAAGCACATCGCCATGTTATTTCTTTTGTACTCTATGTATTTTCAATTGTACGTAGAAACATATATTAATTATAGGCTCTAGTTCGTCAACTTAGCAAAGCCGATTCTACATTCTTTATTCTCCAGAGGACTACGATTATTAGAAAATATGATCGCCGATCGCATGGATGTAATCAATATATTACAGTGCAAAAAAAAACTATACATAGTAATGAATATATTTTATCATTAGAATTATTCTATATAAGCAAATCCTTTTAATATGGATGAAGATTGATCATATTTGCAAGTATTTTCTTTGATTTCCTTCCTTCCCCTTCCTTTCTTTCTTTCTTTACACATCGATCTAAATTCATATGTATTAACAAATTTTAAGAAATATTACGTGTTAATTAGATAAGCTGCCAACTTGTCTAAAATGTTTCTCAATTATATATATTATGTTTCTTTCTTGTCGGTATTGTTTTACAATACCCTTTTAATATCCAGCCAATTAGTAATTTCTTTACTTTCTCTGTACATACAAGAATTTATCCTAGATAATTCGTTTACTAAGAAATATAATAAAGAATAATATGACAAATTGCTAACTAACTTATTAGTAAAATGTATATAAGGTTAATATAAAACATGCACGTATACGATAATAAAAATATAGATGCAAACCTAGATAACAAAATATTCTGAAAATTTTTAAGAGCGATACTTAGTATGCTTGAACGTAATTAAATTGTGTATATGCGTGATACGTACATATTATATTTAAAGAAAGAAAGAAAAAAAAAAGTTAACAAAGGAAATAATGAGGTAGACCTATCCTACATAATGTATGAAGAATCAAACGATTATTCGTATGCATTTGGGGTTTTGGTCCATTATTACTAATACAAATTATATGATGTTTGTGCCCATAGAATAGGATTATATGCGACGATCACGTAACCTAATCTTAACCCAAATACCCTAACATGGTTTTTTGTACTTTGAAAACTTATAATAAATAGTAATAAATAATAAATAATGTATACTTCATAAAAGAGCCTCCAGAAATACATTGTAAGCCACATAGATGCATTAAGTCATATTAATGTTACGTGATTAACGCATAAATTCCCCCAAAAAAACAAATCAAATACAAGATACATAACAAATACATATACATGAACATATATATATATATTATTTACGGTTCATAGAT